TGAATAACAGTTGATAGAGTATTGTAGAAATTTAGAGTTTTAGTAATTTTGTAATTAACATATGCAGATCAAACGCAGTTTTATATTTAAATATTTTATATATATTATTGGTACCTTTTATATATATTATTGGTACCCTTTTGTATTGTTTGTAATTGGGTTGGTGATATACCGAATAAACTGACTACTGTAGCCACAAAAATGGAGTGGGGACTTGGGAGACAACCAAGCCAGCTTCCCATGTTGTATACATTTTACTTACATGTTTCCATGAAATTCAGTTGATGGCTTCCAAGAAACAGAAACTTCATTCTGGGAAAAGAGAATTAAGTAAATAATGAGCTACCTGACAGATGCAATCTTTTACTTTTCCCTCTTATTGCTGGTGTTTCCAGATTTTAATTGTATTATTTTAATAGTTGTACACCGCCCTGAGCTCATTTGGGAAGGGCAGTATATAAATATAATAAAAATAATAAATAAATAAAAATAACAGCAATGTAATAATGCAATTTAACACTAACCTAGTGCACTTTTGGATACCTGATGAAGAATTCTGGGGAACTTGAAAACTTGCTCACACATTATTTTGTGTCACTTTGATTTAGTTAAAAAGTAATAATGAGTTTTATTTTTGGATTCCTGTTTGAATATCTCTGCATTTCAAATATTTGCAGAATTTCATTTTTGGAATTCCCCTTTCAGAGATACCTTTAAGAACTAAAGAATGATGATGTAGTATATTGGATACTTGAGGAAAGGAATTGCAAACAAATTAATAACACCCCCTCCCCCCGGGAATGCTTTTGGACCTCCAGGGTGTTAGAAATGGAGGACTTTGTGCTGTCTCCTGTCTCAAACTTGAGAAGATGGCACCAAAGAGTTTAGACAGATAGCGAGGTCAGGACACATACAGCATCGTTTCCCTCCTGCTATCTGATCCTTTCCTTTGAAGTAGAATCCCACTCTTAGGGGCAATTTCCTCTGCTTCCGCTCGCTCACCCTCTTCTCTCTCCCACGCACACAACGAGGGTGCATGATCTCTCCACCTTCCACCATGGAGGCTGGACACTCGTCCAGCAATCAACACTATCTAGTTAGAGTAGGTAATCTATATCTGTCTCTTACCTGCACTCTCCAGCCTGTATTTCCTTTAATAAAAGTTGTTTAATAGTTTTAGAAATGACTGCCGACTTCGTGTAACGTTGTAAGTCTGTCGCTACACCCGGCTCGCTCTGCTGCATTAGAGCCTTGAGCACTCTATCACTTTCTGTGGTTCCCTGGCAGTGCCAAGTCCAGAGATCCTGGTTTAAGAAATGCTAAATTATGTTATTCTGATCCCCTTGGAGGCGGGGGAAGATAAAAATTATTTTTGTTAAGGCGAAATCTCACTGATTAATTTGGGGGCAATAATGCTAAGTATTAACTTTCCTAATAAACCCTAAATCCCTCCCCAACTATGTGGAGAGCAGGTCTTTTCTAAGTCAATACAAATCAGGAATAGGTGCTGGAGAATCCTCCATTCCTCTAACTTTATAATGTCTCTAACCACCCATTTAATTTCTCCTGCTGTTTCTCCAAAGAGCACAAGGGGGCAATCTTGGTCCCCCCTTTTCCAGTCCTCACAACAGCCCTGCCACGCAGGTCACACTGAGCGAGCTGGACCTTCCCCCCCCCCCC